CATGCATCTTCTACTGGAAAAAAAAAGTCATATGGTAATGTTAGCGTCTTTTCATTGACACTGTAGCAATGACCCTAGTTCAAAAAATAATATGGTGGATGCCTTATATAGAAAAATCATTTTTCTCACAACCCTATATGGGCAAGAAAGCCGAGTGGAGTGGATATTCATAATTGGATATGCACATTCATTGGGCAAAAATTGCTCCGATGGGGTTTTGGAAAAAAAATGGGTGATATAGGGGAGGAGAAAAATTAGTTTCCAAAATAGCAGATTTTGAACAGTGTCACCGGAAGACGCCGGGAATAGCTGGCAAACTTTGGGAAGATGGTCGGGGCCGACCCACCATGGTTAGCCTCCTACTCTTCCTCCCTCTCTTCTCCTTCACTGCTACAACCTTCCTCTGTCTCCTTCTGTGCTGCACATTCATGTTTAAGGCAACGACGAAGGTGAAGAGTCAGAAGACGCTATGTGCTCTGGTCATCTTCCGATGTTCATTGTAACATTTACATTACTTGAAGAAATAATTTTTCTCCTCTCCTATATCAACCATTCTTTCTCCTATATCAACCATTCTTTTTTTTTTTTCACAGCTCCATCGGAGCGGAAAAGCCCATTCATCGCTTTCTTCTTATTTTGTGTTTGGATTCTATATTTTATTATTATTATTATTATTATTTTGTTGAAATAATACGGTTTCCAAAATCATAATTAATGTAATCTATGTTGAGATTACTGAAAAATCTTGCAGAATTCATATATTCTATTATTCTGTTCATCCTTGCTCTTGTCATGGGAACTTCCCTAACAGTTAAAATCTGATTTAATTTCGATATATATTTTTTGCTAATATCGACGACTCCATTGGATTTTCAATTAATATGTATATATATATATATATTTGGTCGACCAAATATTAGAAACTAATATGATTTGATCTGAGCAAAACTCTGGAATGGGACAAATGGAACAACCACTTCTCTTGCTCTACCGAACGGTCTATTTAATAGTTTTGGAATTGCTTCTGCAAATGATATAAAACCTAAACAGATAACCCACCCTACGATTTGGAACTATATTCAACTGACTTTCCAATATAATATTAAGAAAATAAATGTACATTGGAAATGAATAAATATAAGTAGTGATAGGTTGAACAGATATGCGAGATGATTTAACCTAATACCAAATAAAATAACAACATCAGGCAATCTCATTTAAGTAATTGAATAATTTCATCATCATACATGATCATAATTGTCGATATGCATTTTCGTCCGACTTTACATTTATATGTCATGATCATACATGATCAGTACAACGTAATTGTATCTTAAATTTTTAAGTCATGTTTAGTTTTACAAATTGTATTTGTACAATTATATAAGGTTAAATTATAAATAGTATTAATCATTAGAAAGAAGAAAAATCTTAAATTCTAAAAATATTTTATAAAATTTGAGTAAGTATTCGACAATAGAATTACTGATAAAATAAAGTTTTATGGTTAAAAATTATAATGAATAGATATAGTATATAGGATTTTTTTTTGTATTGATAGTGAAAATAAATTTTACAAACGAAGTTTTATGTTGTATTTAGGATTTATAATATATCATTTGATATATTGTAAAATAATATTTTTTATTACCAATGCATGAAATAATAAAATTTATATTATAAAATCCTATCTTACGATAACAATAATAAATTTTAAGTCGACGTTGTAAGAAAATAAATAAATAATAAATTAAAGAGTGTGATTTTCAAGACAATATATGTTCAAGGATCATTCTCAATTTTTCGACATTGAAAGTTTACACCCCTGACATCTATGGTGCTTGAACCTGAATCTTCAAATAACAACAATAATTCATTTACCACGGAGACAAGTTAGTTCGTGCTAAAGAGTGTGATTTTAAGTGTTTCTAATTATACCTTATCTCTTATTCACATGGACGAACGTAAAATTTTATGTTAGATGGAATAAACCTTAAAAGGATTACGAACTTATAAATTTTAAAAGAAATAAAAAAATCAACAAAAAATATAAAGAATATCTAAAATGTATAAAAATTTAATTTTTTTTTTAGTAGCAACCACTTTAGGTTCATCCTTGTTTATCCAAAAGGACATAGGCTATAGTAGTGTGGAAAGTCTCACGTGCGTCAGTTTTAATATACAATTAAGAAAAGACGCTATTGATTTCGTTATTATTTTTTTAACAAAATGGGTAAAAAATTACTAGAAAATTATTATTTTTACCGGTTTTGTTATTATTAGACGCTTTACCGGTTTTGTTAACATATCCGATAAAATGGTACCGATTTTATTATTTTTCTACCGATTTTGTTATTATTAGGTATTTTATAAGAAATGTTAAAAAACATCAATGTTTTAGGTAGAAACAATAATGTTTTAGGTAATATTTTACTGGTTTTGTTAAAAAAATAATAACAAAACCGATAACGTATTTCTTTAGCTGTATATTAAGGCTGTTGCACGTGCTACTAGGCGAAGCGGTGAAGTGTCGAACCTTAAATGGTAAAACTTCCCAATAATATCAAAACCTTTAGGAAAAAAATAATAAAATCGATAGCATTTTATCGAATATGTTAACAAAACTGGTAAAACGCTCAATAATAACAAAATCGGTAAAAATAAAAATATTTCAAATAATTTTTTTATCAATTTTATTAAAAGAATAATAATAAAATTGATAACATCTTTCATTAATAGTATATTAAGACTAATGCACGTGACACTTTCCAATAATAAACCCGGTTATTTTGTTGTCAAACTTAGGCCTTAGTAAAACATATCAAACGCTGTAATAAAAAGGGAGAATTCTAATCTACGTCTGTGTGACCACACAGTAGCATATCTCAGCAGCTAACTTTCAAAGCTTTCCCGATCCACCAACCGAGAAACGAGAAAAAAAAAACTTGAAAATAGAACATCTTTTTGTACCATTTTGGAGCTCTAGATTTTCAATCTTTGCCCCTCAACTCCTCAGAATTCCTTGGCTCAAACAATGGTATGTACTTTATCTGTTTTTTTTTGTTCCTTCCCCAATTCGTCAATTTTTTTTACCGGATAGAAAAGAGCTGGAAACTCTTTTGATCTAAGCCTCATATTGTTTTGGCCTTGACAGATCCGATTTATTTTGTTGCAAAATAGGCAAGGCAAGACTCGTCTGGCCAAATACTATGTTCCCCTCGAGGATTCCGAGAAGCACAAAGTCGAATACGAGGTATTCAATTTTCATTTCTTTATTGATAATTTGGAAACCCCTTATTTTCACTCCCTAAGGTTTTGGAATTTGGGCGAATTTCTTAGCTACAGTTTTTGAATATTTTGATTATTGGTTCACAGGTTCATCGATTGGTGGTTAACAGAGACCCCAAATTTACTAATTTCGTGGAGGTTGGTAAAATCGCGTATTCTTTTTTTAAAATCCGTTTGTTCATTTACTTACGTTTTTGGTGAATTCCTATTACTTCATATTTTACTATTGGAATTTTTTGGTGAGGAAAGGGAAAGTTGCCTTTTAAATGATGGTTTTAGAGAAGATCCCATAAGAACATAACTAGAAAATTGAAGAAATACAAAAGTAGGGTAAGACTTAGATTTTAAGCAAGCAATTGCTGAATGTTTGATTGATTGTATGCATTTTTTCTTTTGCAGTTCCGTACGCACAAGGTAATCTACAGGCGTTATGCTGGATTGTTTTTCTCATTGTGTGTTGACATAACAGATAATGAGTTGGCATATTTGGAGTCTATTCATTTATTTGTGGAGATATTGGACCACTTTTTCAGCAATGTATGCGAGCTTGACTTAGTTTTTAATTTTCACAAGGTATGTTTTATCAACTTTTGCTTGAACATTACTTGCTGGATTCAAGTTTTCAATCTAATTTCCATGAAACTACGAGTTCCAATAACCAAAAAGTTTTGTTTTGTCCCGTTTCATTTTGCTTTATTTCTTATTGAAATCGTGAGTTTGTGATCTCAAGTCTCACCACTTGCTTATCTGCTATTTCAAATTACTTTTTGCATTCTTTATCTAACTTGTGAACTGCTTTATTTCCACTCATTGGTTTAAACACATGTATTCAGGTTGATTGTCATATTCCTCTTACTTCACTTATCCTTTTTCCTTTGAAATTCATGAAGGTTTATCTGATACTCGATGAATTCATTCTTGCTGGAGAGCTTCAAGAAACAAGTAAAAAGGTTTGCTCCCCCCCTAGAGACCTTTTAGTTATTATTTCATGTTGATGGTTTTTATTGACATTGCAGCTTTTCTTCTCTTATCTTTTTTTACCCTTGGAATTGTTAGTTTTAGCAATGACACTGTTGTTATGTTTCTTCTTTTGGTGTAAAATATTAGCTCATACTATTGCTTTTTGCATGTCATTACCACAATGGTCGTTATAATCGAACTCTTTGAAAATGTAATCATTCTTGTTATAGAGTGGCAATACAAATATTTGATGGCTTGGAAACCAGCACTGAGGTTGTTCTTGCTGCACATTGCAGGCTATAATAGAGAGAATGGGGGAACTGGAGAAACTAGATTAAATATGACTCTGCATGAAAGACAGATGGTGCAATTTGTGTCAAGTATTTCTCAATTTCTTTTTACCTGTTTTGCACAGCCAAATCTTTATTGTATCATTAGAAAACTGAAACACAAGGAATCCCCTTAAACCCTTTCCCCTTTTCCAAATGTAGTCTCTGTAATGGTACTTTGTTTAAATTGGATAAATTTTTATTTGTTTTCCATTGGGTAAATTATGTTTAGAGGGAATTGATTTGCATGTTATTTTAGCGTTTTAATCGAAAGCAGCAGCAGAGTGACGAAGAATAGATTTGACAAACCCTACAAAATCGAAGAATTAAGCAAAATAATTCATGTTTGTGTAGGAGGAAAATTTGGACGAAAGATGCATTTGGGTTGCAACAATAAAAGAGAAAACAAGGTGATAACAGAATGGCATTAAAATTTCTTGCTAAATATTAGTGTCATTATATTTCAAGCCCGAATCTGTAGGACAATTAGATAAGCCTCTCACTCTTTCATCGTTGCAACCATGAGCACCGTCTATGATCTGCAGTTGAAAGAATAAAACAATGCTTACTGTGCATCGTAAGTGGAAGGGACCTAATTCAAACTTCAGAGGCGCTCATCGCAGAGTAACTGCAAAGACAGCGTTCCACCAGTGCGTAATCTACCATTCCTTTCGTCGTATATGGATGGAAGATGGTGGTCTGACCTTTTCGCTCTAGTTGGGGGCAAAGATGAAGAAATGGCCATTTTCAGCAGTTGATGTTGTGGGACTATATTAGACTTGGGACTCGGAATATCTAGACTTGAAAAGGGAGGAATGGCATTATGAGCATAAGGAATCGAAGTACAGGACTCGTTCTTTCCATTTTGCCTGCTCGGAAATTGGGTCAAGACCGTGGAGGTTCCACCAGGCTTGTACTGAGTTGCTAGGTGAGCTGCCCAAAGTCGCTGATGTTGCTGTTGTTTTGTAACTCCTGAATGACACATGTAAGGAGGGACGCAAAAAGGGTTACTGGGATATTGAGGTAGCTGCGGTTGGACCTGCAGTAAAGTACCACAAAATTAACATAAAACTTTCATGACAAAAAATAACCAGACTAGCACAGAATATAACCATAATATCCCTAAACAACCACAAGAAGATTCAACTGGGTGCTTGTTAAGAAATCATATTGATGGTCCCCACTGGTACTGGAACCTAAAAATGCAACACATTTACGGACGGCCTCACTTATTGGATACAATTATTGGTACTAGTGATCTCACAGACAATAATTTCAATTATTAGCATTAACCAATTTTTGCAAGATATGAAGGAAAAGGAAGGGGTGGGGGGGGGGGAGCAAAATAAAGAAATAAACCTGCTGTGTAGCTGTTGCCGTTGAAAGGGGGTCTGTGTAACAAGTTGCGGGTACTGAGAAAGGCACAAGTGACTGGTGTTGTTGAAATGAATGAAGGTAAGGAACTTTTCCTTGGAATTGTGACAGTGATTCAATTGCATTTCCAACTTTAATAGAGTTATTATTAACTTCCATACTAATGCCCCCAGTCGACAAAGACAAGAATTCCAAAGTCTGTGCAGTAAACAGTACGTGATCAGGATAGTGAGAAAGAAATAACCACAAGCAATCCCAATAGGTGACCATACCTGCTTATTTGAAGTGTTCCTCCCAGATGCTGAAGCAACCTGTGGGTGTTCCTGATAGAAAATCTTCGGCTGTAGAATACCATTTCTAGTTTCATAATCATTTCTACCGGGAGCAGAGTTTCCAGAATAGCTACTAGGTATATTGCCATTTACAGCATTTCTCAAGTTACCGCGATCATTTGGATACAAGAGAGCTGTTTGCTGTACTCCTCTATGGGGTTTCAACTGAAGAGGCTGTTGAAGAGTGATGTCTTTGTTGTGCATCTGTAAATTTCGAATGAGACGGCTGATGTAGATATGAGTAACACACCTCTTCGTTGACTTCCTATCCATGGCAACTTTTGAAGCCTATAAATCTCATCATTTACCATACACTTGATTTAGATGCTTGATGTGCAAAGAGGCATTCATGAAAACAGATATAACAGGCATTTAAACATGCATACCTTTTCAGTCAAAGAACCACTTTCTAATGAACATGTCCTGGGGCCATAGATTGCAGCATCCAACCAAGCAGGAAATTTATTAGCAAATGATCTGATATATAGTAAAAACTATGAAGGATGCCAAAAAGATGGTAATGAAAACAGATATTTATGATGATAAAAGAGAATTACTTTGAAGATCCAGGGGTAATAGGGCCAATGGCTGAGCTTTGCCACAATGCAAGACCTATAGGACCAACATTATGTCAGATATTAGTATCCAAACAGCAAAGAAACAAGCAATATACAGCAATGGAAGCTCCCAAGCTGGTATTTACCATTTTTTCTGGGCTCCTTGATAATATTTTGCTCTGCCATTTGGCTTTCTGAAGCAGTAACCTACAAATGATCCAAAGCAACCATATGAGTTCAAGATTGACCAATGAAAGCAGTATTTGATTCTAACGTTGGTGTCAAGCTTATACCCCAAATGCCATTTCTGCCTTTCTCTCAAAAAGATTCGTCACCAATTGCCGCTTCAACCTGCGTATGCGTAATCAATTAAAAGTGAACAAAAAAGAGCACACTAGAAATGCAAGAAGATGCATGTAAAAGAGAACTCCTCAGCACTTACCCAGTTAAGATTAATTCAGAGAGAACATGAGAGTCGCCAGGAATGCAAGATGAATTATCAACTTCAGGTTCACTCCTAGCCAAGAAAGAGATGGAACCAATCTGCCTCATTTTAGAACCAGCACTATCTTGTTCAAAATGGGGCTTTCTGCTTCCTGGCAAGTTAGGCTGATCTTGAGAGGTAGTTTCATTCAAAGACTTGAGTTTAGCAGCATCGTTGGTTGAATCCTCTACAGTGAATGGAGGAACAGTCTCGGCCGCTTGTGGATGGCGAACTTTGTTTGTATCTTCTTTTTTAACTGCAGAATCATATAACTTATGCTACAGATAATATCAAACAAGAAGTCTTGCGAATACATAGCAAGCAGGTGAAAACCTTCAATTGCTGTGACGGTTTCTGGAGGAGCTGAAGCCTTTACTTCTATCGGTTCACCATTCATTTTGTCCTTATCCATTGAGTCATCGTCAGGGAACATTCCCGCCAAAGCATACAGGGTCTTCACAACCTCTTCCTCATCTTTTGTGATTGGTCCAGAAACTGTCGCCTTCCTGGACCAGCCTGCCTCTCCTTTCTACAGAAAGCAATTTCAACAGCATAAGCTACAAATGCTTAACTAAAAAAGAACCATAACTACACTTGACAACTGGGGAATGAGTGACAATTGACCAACCGAATTCAATTTTGGTTTCTTAAGACCATTCTTTCTATGCACTTCATCTCCGCCAAGTTTATGGTTTGTTTTCTTAGAATCTGGTAAAGGAGGGACGATCGATTCGCAACTGCGCTTCTTCATGGCTGTGAATAAAATTCCAAATATCCGGAAACATTAATACCATCAAACGCCTTATTTTATTCCTCTACAAGGATTAAAGTTCCAAATTCATTAAAAGCTGGCCGGTACCACCTTTGGAAAAGTAAATTTCAGTATGTACACAGACGCAAAAACTCAACATAGTATAATTATTTGACAAGAAGCAATACACACCATAAAAGTGACAGCATCAATAATATTAAAGAATTAAGAAACAAGACAGCAAAAGGAATCTTGCGACCGTAGAAAGAAAAGAAAAGGCAAAAGGCCTTGGTTTCGCTTCAGTTCCAAACTTCTAATCCAAAAGCAAAAACAAAAATGGAGAAACTTCCCAGCAACTCCCCATCAAATGCAAACTTAATTTAAAACGACAACAAGAAGTTCATTAAACCTGAAAAAAGCAAAAGCAAAAGCAAAAGAAAGAAAGATATAATTTTATAAAATACAAAAAAAAAAATCCTTTCCTTTTTCAGAATAAATTATATTCATTACAACAAACAACCTTCCTGTTATTCATTCACGAGTTACACACCTGACCGTAGCTTCCGTGGAACAGAGGAATGATTAATGAGATTGCAGTCATGAAAGAACTGCAGAGAAAAATAAATAAAATTTAAAGCTTTCAAATTCAAAGACCAAAAAAAAAATTCATTTTTGCTGAGAGTGATGGACAAAAACAGAAGGCTTACCTTCTTTGGTATGTTAAACATATTGGTGGCAGAATTAGTGACGGGAGAAGAAGAGGGTTGTGAATGTGAAGGGCACTGATTTTCTCTATTATCAGAAGACAAATCACAGCAACAAGAGCTACCCATTTCAGTTTCACAGTGTGGGCTGCTATTGGGACCTGAACTGGGACTTTCTCTATTACCACTAATGCTACTCAATCTTCTAATTTTCTCTTTCTTCTCTTTCTCTAAAGAAACGAAATCCCCGGAATCAGCAACGCCAGCAACACCTTAAAAATCAATGGACAAAACACGCCATTTATCATTTACTTAGCTCTTCTTATCCAAAAAATAATGATAACGATAATAAAAAGGAAAAAATAATAATTAAGGAATGTTATGAAAAGGACAAGAGAAGGGAGGGGTTTTGGAGTAAATTTACCAAACAAAGTGTTGGGTCGAGATTGTTGTTGCTTCTTGTTGGTATTAATCTGTTGTTGCGAGCACCGAGTCACTCAACACGCCTCACGCCTCACGCCTCGACTCTTGTCCATTTCTGTTGATACCACATTCATGATAACATTACGAACATCTAGCTATATCCCGTGGCGGCTCCTTCTCCAGAAAACGGCATTCACGGTTTCAAAATAAACGATTCAAAATCCAAATAAACTCATAAAAAGCTTCAGACAAGATCTTTCTTCTCCTCCAATATCAGAACTTCTTCAATTACGTGAACAAAAAACGAAAACAAAATAAACAAGGTAAGAGAAGCCTCCTTTTAATGCAACTCCGTGTAGAATTCAATATGAAAGAAGGAAAAATGAAGGACATAAGATGGAAGAACTTTATTTGATTTTTGTGGGTTTTAGTAGTTATGAGCGAAAAGTAAGCCGGAAAGAAAACCGAAAAAGTGGCGTTCGGGATTTGTTTATTCAAAGGAAAGAGAAAATAAATCAAATTTGATTGCCTTGCCTGATATCTCTCCATTTCTCTTTTCTTTTTTCTCTTTGTTTTGTGAGTTTAGCAAAGTGCTTAAGAGGATCTCCATTTCCTCTTAGCCAAGAAAAGATAAGCACTGAGAGTCTGAATGAGTAATAGTAGGAGATCAAAATGGCATTGAAACTGTATGTATAAAAGATTAAAAAAAAACTCACAAGAAAAGCAAATCCGTAGAGAGAAACTTTTTAAAACTGTAAATTCAAATGCAGAGGAGAAATCATTATTGCATCACTCTACTTCTCAACCAAACAATAAAAGAAAAGGATTCCATCACGCTTTTTCACTTTTCCTTTAATCTTTTCTTTCACTTCCTTTTTTCTCTATAAAAAATAAAAACACCATTGAAGGTTAAACCGAGCAATCAGAAACGAAGAAAAGTAAATCTCAGGTAAAAGCAAATCAAGAAATAGCAGCAATTGAACGAATGCAGCTAACAGCAACCTTCCTTGTTCATTCACTTCAGAATTTCCCACTGCACACTCTCTCTCTCTCACACACACACAAAATCCAAGTCCCATCTCACGTCATTCCATTTTGATTTCGACCTCTCCTTTCCATATAGCCGTCGGATCTATACCTTTTCCCTCAGCAAACAGTGCAACTTGATTCCCAAGTGTACGGCTGTTAGTTTTCAGTGTCAACATCGGCCGATTTTCGGCCCTTCGATTCCTTGGCTTCCTTAATTGTGCTCCACTATTATAAAACCGTTTTCAAAAGTGTTCAGTGCTTTTAATAAAATTTTGAGGTAACTGAAACTCGAGTTAACACACTTTATCCGACGGCTCGTAATCGCAGTTCTCCAAAAAGAATCCACGTGGCATCCTCTGTTTTTAGTGATTAAGTAGTGTCTAATTTATTAAAGTAAGGGTCGATTATAAATTTAGTAACGAACTTTATTTTTTCTTATTTTATTAATTGTATTTTAAATTTTTTTAATTTACATTGAATTTTTTATATAGATGTAAAACGACGTTGTTTTAGAGAAAATTTTATTTTTTTTAAAATTATGTCATTTTAGCGCCGTTAATTATTTAATGGTAGAGTGACTAAAATATGAGAAAGAATAAAATTCAGTGAACAAAAAAAATCAATGTATTAAGTTTAGTGATAAAATTAAAAACTTTCAAAATTCAATGAGTAAAATAAGAAAAAAAGTAAAATTTAATGATGAAATTTGTACAAGCCTATTAGAGGGGTGGATAATGTTTTAAAAAATGTGACTCAGCCCAATTGATAATGCTCATATTCATTCATACGCACTATGTCTCATAAAAGATGTTTATTATTAACATTTTTTTTTAATTTTTTAATTTTTGATTAATTATTATTTAAAATTTATTATTTATAAAATATGTAAAAATATATTTTAAAAATCTTCAATCAAATAATTTTCAAATATATATTTTATAAAATTTAAATATTTAAAATAATAATGGTCAAAGTTTATAAAATTTGACATTTTAAAAATTAACAACGAACGTTTTTTGTATGAGACATAGGGGTTTAGATTTAAATAAGAGTAGCATAAAACAAAGCAAAGACACTACAATAAAATTTCTTATTAGTGGCATCTAGATTATTGTCACTAAAACTTCAATTTATGTCACTAGATATATTTTGTGACGTAAAAGTCAATGTCACGATGATCGTCACCCTAGGTGTGTCACGAAATGTCAAAAGTGACGATGTATGTGTTATCATCATGTATTGTTAAATATATAGTGACGCTAATGGATAACGTCGCAGTTTAATTTGCATTCAGTGACAATTACTTTTGTCACCAAATGATATACATTTTCGTCATTAATAAATCATATTGTCACCAATAACACAATAATTTCATTTTATACGTGACGAAAATAAAATTGTCACATTGTTAGTAACGTAGTATATCGTCACCTAATAGTAGCATGGATGACATTTATATATAACGTCACTATATAATTAATATTCAATGACAACTAATTATGTCACTAAATTATGTAAAATTTCGTTATTAATGATTTATATCATCACAAATAATACATTAAAATCAACCTATATGTGACGAAAGAGATATTGTCACATTTTTAGCGACATAATATAAATGTTACCTAATAATATTATGAATGATGTTTATGCATAACGTCACTTTATAATTTATATTCTATGACAGTTGGTTACATCACTAAATTAAATAAGAATTTGTTATTGATAATTTATATTTTCACAAATAATGCATTAAAATCAACTTATATGTGACGAAAGAAATATTGTAGAAAAACACAAATAATTTATATTCTATGACGTTTTAATGACAATATATATTAAAATAAAATTATTTATACAAATCTAAATAAAAAATAAAATGGTTCACTTATTGCAAACTAATAAGATTTAAACAAATATTTCACTAAATACATAATAATTTCATTTCTATAAATATAAAAATGTTTAAATGTTTATAGAAAATAAAAATAATATGATAATAATATGACTTGTAGAATATTTCGTTGTAACAATCTCAATCCAAACCTTGAGTCGATTGTGGTTCTGTTGATGTTGAGTTTGTGGTATCATTTGAAGCTACAAATTAAGATAATCAATATTAGTTACTACAATTAATATTATATAATAATTTTTATTTGATTAAATATATTGTTTACCTGAAAATTGAAGTGATGGCACTTGAATTTTCAATTGTTGTATCTGGATCAATTTCTTCATGTGTTTGATTTGGAGCATCAGTAACTTGTTGAGGTTCAGATTCTTGGGTTCGATTTAGTTTACCAGAGACTTTTTGAGTTTCATTTTCTTATGTTCCAATCCTTTTACGAGATACTTTGCCTGGTGTCATCCTAAAACATATAGAAAAACTATTATAAATACTTTCAGCAGCTTTTGCAATCGATTGCTCTTAGATATTAGAGGGAAATACAAAGACGCATTAAACCACAACCAAAATCATCAATTATTAAAGCACATTTGCTCTCCACTGGCAGAGCATTCTACAACTTAATTCATAAATGCAACAGTTCAGTTACACTAAGAGAATGATTCATTTGCAATTCAACTACATTAATAATTATGCTAAATTACAAAATTTTGCAAACTTACACTGAAATGATGCTAATAACAATATTTTTAATCAGTTTAAATGGAAATGTAAATAAATTAACATAAACAAAAAGAATGATATAAATTCAAATTTCACAAACACATGCACCTAAAGGAAGCATAAATACATAGTAGAGTTTGAGCATACCTTGTGAAGGTGAAATTTTACATCATAAACATTTATTTATTAAATGAAGAATTATCAATGTGAAAAGGAAACAAGACATGCACAGGTTTTTGAATGAGTTTTCCAATCAGATTGCACAATATCGAATAATAAAAGCAGCAACGTTTAGCAAAATTGAAGAAAAAATTAACAATTATTTTGTAAAAAGCAGCATCATTTAGCAATATTTAAAAGAAAAAAACTAACAATTATTTTGTAAAAAACATCAGCGTTTAACAAAAAATCAAAAATCGAATAATAAAACTAACCCTAAACCATATGAATTCAACAATATCGAAAAAACCATATTTAACAGCGAAGAAAATAAATTTAAAAGAAAACAAATAATTACCTGCAAAATAAAGTTGGAGAAACCTTTGACTACTACAATATGAATCAAAACAAAAAATAATTATAAAAATAATAAAACTATAAAGCAAAATTATCTCAATATAGAATATAGTGTAAACACCCGTTTTGTCTGGGATTTTTATTGTTATTATTTTTATAATTATTAAATATTAATTTGGTGTTGTGTGGCACATACTCTTTATGTTTGTGTAAGTGCGGGTTGTACCTCCCTCTACTATATATGTTGCAATTGTCCAAGGTGCTCCGACAAAACCCAGCACTGTTGCATGATCTCCAACCTACTGGCGCAAAATCATAAGGGACTCCCCAACAAAATGTAGTTTCTCTAAGTCAATAGGATGCAATGCCTTCAAGCAATCCTCAGAGTGCATCGGTGAATGAATGACAGGACCCCTTACTTCTTCAATGTTAAACGGGACACCGAATGCAGGTAGTGGAGTAAGATTATAACTCCATCAGGACGGAAAGCTTCCCAAGGATGCAAAGAAATTTCCACAATGAGATCAGTTGTCTCAGACCTCTCTCTGAAGGACGGATGTTTCTCTGCAAGCTTTCTGTAAACAGTCATATACCTTCCTGCCTGGCGCATCATCCATGCAAGAGGCCTACTTACAGGATCTCCTCTTGCAGCTTTAACCAACAATGGATCAGTAGTAGAAGAAGAGCAAGCT